TCATGATTTGAGATAGTGTGTTGGTGCTTCTTTAAACCATCCAGGTACCAGAAGAAATCTGGGGGAGTTACGGAGAGGAAACATGACATTTCTTCAACTCTAGCACAGCTTTTTTTATATGCCTGTGAAGCAAAATTTGTCTGTAATTTATGAAACTGAGTCATGTTAGAGATAATGCTATAGCAACAAAGAGAAACCTCTAACAAAAAACTCCTAGTTAGAAAAAGTGTAGTAACTAAACTTAAAAGGTAAAAAAAACCTAAATCTTAAGTCATAGTTCTTCTTGTTGTTAACTTTGCTTAACCGTTATGAGGTCTCACAGGCAGCCATTTATCATCTCATGTGCACGGTATTTGAAATTCCCGGGTGAACTTGTGCACCTTTTGCTCGGCGGTCATGGTGAGGCTCTGCAGGCGGCAGGTCATGTTACTCAGGCTCTTCTCAAAGGCTGCGACCAGGTGGGACTGCAAGACACAAGAGCAGAAAAAACAGAGCTAAGCTGCGGCTAAAGGGTTAGCTTTCATTCTTTAACGGAACAACAGAGACGAGATAAAACATTCACATGTTTCATCTACATCCACGTCGCACGACTGAATCCAAGATGACTTTGGTCTAGGTTCAGATCAGTCATTGCAGTTAAAAAAGCTATCTATTATCACTTATCTGCACCCCCACTTTTATTCTTTGAGACAACCTCTCCCTTGAGGAATGGATGTTCTTAATGAGCCAGTTTGCTGGTGATAGCTTTGAAGTGGAAGCTTCTTTAATCACTGAAGCTTGATGTGTTACTGCGCTGGACTCAAGAAGCCCTATACTGCTTTTAGCATATGAAATGTAGAAAACCACTGAGAGTGGGATGCCGACATCAAGTGTGTTCAGCCTGATTTGAGCAGGTAGGATTTCATTTGGCCTCGCCGTTGCATCTTTTTGTTGCGATTTAATCGGCGTGGAGGCGAGCGTGCCTCTGAGACAGCGCTCTGAACAAACAGCGTAAAGACTGTGGGAAATCAGAGAAAAAAAGGTGTGGCAGGCATGTCGGCGATCCGCTGCCCTCCCTGAATGCATCTGTCACCCGAGGGTGCAGAGGCAACGCGTTAGAGGATGGCAACTGTTTAGCAGCGTCACACCATCTGCTCCGCTGGGGATTCTGTTTGTGAAGAATTTGTTGTGCATTCATTTTTTCGAAAGTATGTTTCTGTTGGGATGCCTTCAAAAGCCAGACGTTTAAGACTGAAATTTTTCTGTGGGTTCTAATCTGTATGTACGGGGCTTTGGTGGGCGCGACTCACACTGCCATCTTTAGCCACAGACCCCAAGACACCTGTCAAGTGTGTGTGTCACAGAGAGGCGGGCAGCATGCCCAGACAGATCAAACACTCTCTGCCTGTGCACACACACACACAAACACAATCTGCACACGCTTACAAAATGATGTTTTTAAGAATTTTCATTTGGTGACTTAAGCATAATTTGTTGAAGCAAATAAAAAAACGTGACCTATAAAAATAAAAATCGCCCAATTTTTCTGTTGCCGTGGGGACATGCAGGTCCAGAAAAACACACACGCACGCTGCTGCATCCTGTGCTGCCACTTCCACTCTGCGTCCCCGGATAAAACGGCGTAGGTCTCGACCTTTGAAAAATGCCAACTCGTCAAGCATTCCAGCTCTACATCTCATTCCAGCTCCACCTGTGAGCTTCAACTCCTCTCCCCCCCCATCCCACCTGTCCACTCTGAAGGGGGCGCTGACCAGACTCTGATGCACCCAGTGAGGTGCCATCTGTCCTAATCATGCGTCACTCACCTGAAAACACTGGCACTTTTTTAGACCCTTGCTCTGATCTTTAGGTCAGGGTATGGGTTGACAATAGGTTAAACAGAGAACTCCATTAAAGGAAGGCAACACTGCCTGCCAAGGAATAAAATGAGTGACACAAAGAGGAATAAATCTTTAAAGGCGTTACGGTAATGTTACACATTGAAACAAGGACAAAAAATGTGGAAATATCAAATGAGAAAGTGGAAATATTCCAGCCATCTATTTGTAAACAGCTGCAAGTCTTTCCCATTTCCATATTTCTGCATTGGTTTTATGGTTTAATAGGCTTTTTGCTGCCACTGTGTATAAACTTCTTTTCTCAGTTGCATTTTGTATTGGTTTAATATTTCTCAAACTCTTGCACCGCAACATTGGCTTCTGTTATTTTTTGCGGCTGTCACTTTGGGTTTTATTTCCCTTTAAAAGAAATCAAAGTGTCACCAGCTCAGTGTATTCAAGCTACATGTCAAGTAGTGAAGTCATCTACTGAACAGTTCTACAGGAGAAACTGGTTTGGGATTAAATCACTGAAGCATTGAATCCCAAATTCATATCAATAAATATGAATCCTTCCTTTCTGGAAAGCATACACAAAATATAATACCACACAGTCTGGTGTTGTCCATGTAAAACATTTTGGAATCAGGCTTCCTTTATGTGATCAAATGTAATCAAATTATACATTGTGTTGTAGAAATGGTCTCTAATCTGACCATTTTCCCATTACATCACTCAAATATGAGTATTTTATAAGATCCACATTCAATTTTTACATTTTTCTTTTGCATATTCTCATGATAGTATACTGTTTTAATAAGAGGAAATTCCAGGCAGAATTCAGAATCTAGTTTCAGCAAGTGGTTGAGATATAAAAGAAACTAAAAACAAAAACAAAAAAAAACATTTCAGTGTTCAAATCTCGATGGTGTGGCAAAGAGAAAATAGGAAAGAGCTCACACCTGGGTGAGTTGGGGCCTGTAGGTGGACAGCTTCTGAGAGCTGCTGAGGCTGATATTTCCAGTCACACGCCACACCGGGAGGATAAGACGAGCTTATGGCACAAAGGGACCACAAAAGCAGCTCCAGAATAACAGAGCAGAGATGTTTGTGGTCTTTTTTTCCTTAATCCCACAACATTTAGATCTTCATGGGACATTTACATTTGGCTGTTCGGATGTAAATCCGAAGAGTAGAAGGCTTGTCAGGATTAGCAGAAAATATAATGTAAGTTTTTTAAATAGATAAAAGTTAAATAGATAACTTTGGTGTTTTATTTCACAAGTTTTGCTATGCTATGTAATATAAGCAACAACAAAAAAAAGACGCGCTTTATAATTCACAGTGAAACTGTCCATAAAAATATAATAGCATATTGCTTGAAGCTAATTTAAAGTCAAACAGATTATGTTTTCTCTTCCAGGTCTTACATGTTAATATTGATTTTGTCTTTATGAATTCACAGCACAGTTGTTGACTTTTGATTAAATTAAATTAAACTCAAAAATGCTTTATTTATCCCAGAAGGAAAATAAATATTGATGTAGCTCATTTAGTTAAGGCTTTATTACGGATTGGGATGAATGTGGGGAAGAAAGATCTTGATTAATTCAATGGGAGTTTTTTCAGATGAAGTTCAAATGTGTCAGCTCATTAAACATAGTTTGTGGAGCACTGAGGTAATTTTATCTGAGAAACCTTAAGCAGGAGTAACCCCGATCCCCACTCCTATTATCTGAATATGTTAGTTAGCTGTGAGAGCTTTCAGTGTTCGCATGATTTTGAACAGAAAAGTTTTGGTCTGACTAATACATTTCTATTTTCTAATGTCTAAACGTTCTGATATTTTTCACTTTGATCACATTATTATTGAACTTTGCCAATGTTATGGTTGTGTTCAGGAACCTGCATTCTCTGGAAAAACACATTTCAATTAAAAACTTGCTGCTATCTCTTTTATATTATCAAAAGAGGTCAAATGTTTTTGCAATGCTAAAGTATTTTTTTAATTTCTCAACGTGGGTTCAGTTCCGTGTCAGCTTTACTCAACTGTGGGATCAAAGCATCAGACTGAGAGCCCGTCTGCCTCAATGCTTGATCACACTCTGGGGGTGAATAGTTCTCCTGCCCAGCCGAGAGGCTTTGCTGAGGGGTTGGAGGTCTTTGTATCTCCCTCTGCTTCGCTTGTGCATGACGTAAAAGCCACCACGTTCACTTATCTTCATGTCTCCCTGCTTTTCTTCCTCATCTGTTTGTATCTATTTGAGTCCCTCTGCTTCAATGAATTCGGCAGAGACTAAAGTGCTTGTTGAAATAGGAAGGAGACAATCCTCACTGCCCAATCAACACAAACAAGAGAAAAAAACACAACTATGCAGCTAAAGTGATATTAGGGCTTTGGCCAAAGGGGGAAAGAATCGTGAAGTGTTGAAAAGATTTTAAATAAAGTTTTTAAATAAAATGAAAATGAAAAAACTCACATTAGCAGCCAGCTGAGATGTGAGGGTAGCCACCTTCTCTTGAGATGCATCCAACTCCCGACGCAGCTTTCTGATTTGCTGATGAGGAACGAGAGGGCAGAGATAAGTGATTGTCATGTACACAGGCGCCACGCTTTCAACTCCCATGCTGACAACTTTGATGAAACTGTGCAGTTACATGGTAAACAGTTTAAAGAAGATAGTGGAGTGAGGTGTGAACATAAAGTGTTGGGGATTACCGTGGAATTTTGGACTGTTTGGCCCTTGATTGAAAAGAAAAGAGTCAAAATTAACACTATGTTGCATGCTCGCATCAAACAGAATGAACTGATGTGGCTGGAGAGACGGAGCTTTGCAAGTCACAGAACTGGTTTTTCTCAAAGTTAGACTATGAGCAGCAGGCAGAGAGAGACGGGCGAGGCTTTTAGAGCTGGGTCAAATAGTATTTTCAAATACAGAATAATATATTTTAGAATGAGCAAAGATCCACAATTTACAGTTTAGCTGAGAGGACAGCACAGGAAATTGGGATAAGTCACAGAAATTGACTGAGGATGCGCCAAAGAGGCCCACACTTCATTACTGCTTCATTTTCATGACTCATTTCATGCTCTTTTTATTTGCACATAATCCAAGTTGGCAGGCTGACGATCCTTTACAGTTTTACCAGTAAGAGTCCTCTCTGTGACTCTTGGACCTCTTCCTTAATCTTTAAGGCATTTAACACATCCCATACATGACATCAAATGTCATCTTTAATCTGGACTCTGCAAAAAATCCAAAACTCAATTTATCAGGTAGGGTTAGATCCAAAGATGTATCTGCCATTACTGTTTGACCCAATATTGACCTCAAAGATTAGTAGAAATAGAGAAATGTATTTAAAAGTTTAAAAGTTTTCTGGAAAACTGGATCAGTGATAAACTGAACAAACCCAAAATGACAATGGAAGATGGGGCATGCACAATATCCATAAAGTGGAATTTTCAACTGAAGATTATTTGAAAACAATGATGTCGCGTTATTGAGTAAATTCAAATTTGATGAAACAAAGCAATGCAACATAGAGTTAAACTGCTTCATATGTGGACTTCAACACAGTAAAAAGTTTTTTTGCTTAGTTAACTTTGGGAAATATTAATAACTAGAAGTGCAAGCTTTGACTGACACAGACAGGGGGTATCTGTTCACAGAGAAACATGCAGATGCTGAAAAACAGGCAAACAAAAAGCCTCCAGAACCCAAAGAAGAGCAAAATGAGGCTTTGACATATGGCAGTAAACTCTACGTGGCACACAGATGGAATCCAGCAGGTACATAGCTAAGCTAAGCTAAGCTGCTAGGTGGCCAGACTGAGCAGCATCATACGTGCACGTTATCAGTACTTTCTCATCTGTATGAATGTGAAGCAGAAACATGCCAAAAGAAGCATGCAAACGGACAATGAAAACAGGCTTACTCATCCTTACCTCTGAATGGGCTTTTTCCTCAGTCTGGAAGAGAGAGACATTTGTTTGTTGGATCTGTGAGTGGTGTTCAGTCACATAGCTTTTAAGAATGTATGACAGTCAAGAGCCAGAGAGGCATTTTAATGCTGCAAAATGATAGTTACAGTTCAACCAGAGATTATAAGAATTTGTTCAAAAATATCTTTAAAATTGAAGAAGGCACTATCAAAACACAAAGCTTCATTTACTGAACCTACTTTGGGAGCATGCACCTTCAGAGAATAATTCTCACAAAAGCAGAATACTAGATACTTATCAAGAAACACTAAATGGGAAAGAAACACCAAATGCAAGCTTTTTAGTAAAATATTTTCTAATAAAGATATTTGATACTTGATATAATTAAAATGTGATCAGTCAATTTTGAGGCCAGAGTCCGGTCAATGACATCACCTTCCTATTTGAAATATTAATACTGGTATTTTGGCTCAAAGCTAAGAAACAAAGAAACAATGATTTCCGGATAGCTGTTTTGCTGCCAAATAAGATTAGACTAGAAAGCCATCCACCCTTTAAACCCCTTTCTGAGTTTTAACAGGCAGCTCCATGGAACATGAGTCAAGCTGGATTACAACCAACCAAACTGTTGTTACATTCAGTATGTGAAGTTCATGGATCCCAGTTTCATTCCTCCAGGCTCTAACTGACTTACCGCGGAGTACAGTGAGGATGTGCTGGATACCAGAGACAATGAAGAGCCATGGACTGTAAGAGAGACACGGTATACAAACAGTCAGACTGGATTTTCATGTAATATTTTAAAATACAAAGTGTTTTTTCTTATCATATTATCATGGCAATAGATTCTTTTAAAGTAAATTATACAGATGATGCAAGTTGAATAAGTTGGAAAATAGTATGTAAAAGTATTATCTTTTTGGCTGTAATTAAAGACTTCACTCAGAAAATAGTGATTTTGGTATCTAATGGTCTGTGATCATTTATTAAAAAACAAAACCAGCCTGTGTTACCTTCGTCGGTGCTGTCTCTGAAGGAACCGGAGCGGCTGATGGCCCGAGGTCGCTCCTCCAAGGAAGTTGCACTGCCCCCCAGTGGGTGACCCTCCCCGTACAGGTCAAAGGAGTCCTGGGCAGGGATGCTGTTGGAGCGGCTCATGCTGCTGCTGCCCGGGGTCAGGCTGTACTGGCCGATGGTGGTCGGGCTCACTGTACAGAAGAAAAGAAGCTATCAGTACATCAGTAACATATACTGACGACCATATCTTGATAAGAACATAATCAATGATGACATTAATAAACCGATTTAGTTAGATATCATCCACTGACATAAGTTAGAGTAGTGGTATTTTCCAGTGGTGGTGCATGAAGCTCCGGGGGGAGACAGGGGTGACTGGCTACCAGTGTCCTGGAGGCCTCCTGTAGAATGTGATCTCAACCACTCCTTGCCCTCTTCGTGGGATGTCTGGCGGGATGATGGCGGGTATCTGAAACCCACAAGCACACTATGAACTCAGCGCAGGAGAGTTATATTCAAAGGTTTAAGTGATGAGGTTCTGTGATGCTGCATACGCAATACACTTGAGAAGATGGAAAAAAAAAACATGCAACCATTACACACTGATGCATCGTTGAACACAGAATGCCATGCAAAAGTTATGAGAGAAAGATATTTCCATTACTGTCAACAGTAACCCAAAAAAAACATATAGCTAAGAATGACCAACACATATTTGAGAAAATGAGGCTGTCAGGAGTGTTCTGAACCTGCCTCCTTGGTGTCAAACATGGATTACCTCATAGATCATTTTGAAAATAATTAATAATAAATGTGTTATATCTAATGGTTGTGAAAGCAACTGCATGTGGAACTGTAACTTGTTTTGTTTAAAACAAGTTACAGTTATGAGGTGGGATAGTACTTAAATGAGTTCCTGGCTGAGCCTATGTTTGCTTCTGGCTTTTATAGGTTTGAAATCTTATAAACTCTTAAAATTTGGAGCACCTGTTTTTTTCTAAGGACAGCTGAACAAGTCGTAGAACTAGGAACCAGTTGTGGTCAGAGACACTGACAGAGTTTAAGAAAGTGCATGTGATGATCTCCAAAATGCATTTGAAAACCATCACATGCACAGTGTTAACGTTTGTTACTGTTAATTTAAGTTAAATGCTTGTAGTAACAGAGATATTTGCATGCAAGCTATAGTAGTTTGGGCAGGCCATTAACTTTTGTTAGCACAAACTTTTGCAAGCTTATGAATAACTGTGCATGAACAGTTTCGGCTCACACACACACACACAACACACACATTCACACACACATTGCTATTAATCTAGTCTCTTCCCAACTCCAAAGTAGCTCGGCAGCAGCAGCACGACCCCTTATCTCACTAATGACAATCGGCCACATTTAATCCTCTGAGGATGATAATTGAGTTTGCACTCAACCCTTTTCAGCAGCATCTTCCCTCCAACGTCCACATTACTACGCCTGTCACATCTGACCCTGCTGCCGTTGTTCAGGCATTTAAAAAGTCCCGGAATTATGTCACATCATGCTATTCGTCCCTCACTGCAGTTGAAATGGAACAGAATGATATATCCAAGCGTCAGGGTGTAAGTCAGCGTACACTGTGCAAGCAAATAATTTATTTACAGTTTTTCATTAAAGAGGGCGAGAATTGATCTGAGCCTCTCTTGTAAGAAATCTGCAAATTCTGAAAAACAGGATCCTTTAGGATATTTTAAAGGTGGACAGACATATAAATATATGTTATGGTAAAATGCTTGAGAGCCAAATCCAACAAGCAAAAACAGGCGTACATTACAGCATGAGATAAAATTCTTTCATCCTTGTTTAAGTCCACCAGAACTCTTGATGATGAAACCAGCATGCCCCATTTTACCACCAAATGGGATCATAAAAACATCAAAACTGACTCCTCCCCATTTGGGAGGTTTCAGTAATTTTAGAAACTGTAAGATACTTGCTTTATTATTGTGGGTGGATTTAAAACATGTTCTGTGCTGCACAGGACTGGAATAAGATTGGGATGCACACAAAGAGATGAACACGTAAACCGATGGAAAACACACTCCTGTTCACCATATCATCTGTGAATATTTTTTCTTTTTTTCCCTTCTACTAATATTTGAAATAGATTTTGACTTGATAAATTGAAGTCATTCTAATATTTGTTATTGTTTTAGGTCTATATGAGAGTACCTGTTTCCATTTCAAATTTGTTTAGTTTGCCTGTATTCTTTTTACACACCATAGAGCAGTGCCAAAAAAGCTTTTTTTTGGCCACGTATAGATTATGCACCATGCGAGGCAGAAAGTGTGCTTCACATCAGAGTGATTGCTTTCATGCACATACACACTTATTTTCTATTACTGTTGCAAATGTGTTGTACCTCAGTCCCTTTTTGGGGAGCGTGTTTCTGTCAAGAGGCATGCTGTTAAGACACATAGGATGAAATGATTAGATGAACACCAGGAAATAACACGCTTTACAAAATTAACACCAACTTTGACACAAAGACACACAAATGAAGAGAACATTAACACGGTACATTTACATCTCAGTTCAGATGACAACAAATAGAAAATACAGGTAGTGTTTCAGGCTGATTGTTTCATTTTTGAGACTTATGGCTGCACTAATAAAGGGAAATAAATGAGAACCCTCAGGCTACGCTCTGTGATGTATTGCATGCACAGTGTGAGGACAAAACAATGGAAACACTGATATAGACTTCTAATGGGAATATGTGCTGAAATGGTCTCAATATGTCGTGATATTCTTCTGCCATATCTCTAGAACAATTTGTGAATTGTTATTAGCATTTCCAAAGCCAAGTCAGAAAAAGCTTGATTATCATCAGGTATTTTTAGACTACTTAGACTTTCTTTCACTGTTTTTCCATATGCTCGGGTGGAGAGTACCCACGGTTGTCTCTATTCTCAAATGAAACAATGAATACGATTCTTCCAAATCATATTCCCTCTTACTCACCCCTCAGACAGGGTGGACTTGACACTGCCGGTTCGTGTAACTTTGGGCCCGTGGTGGCCCAGAGGCATGTCTATGGACTCAGAGCTGGTGTGCAGACTGGTCATGCTCTGGCAGCTCAGCGTGTCCTTGCTGCCGGCTGAGGAGCTACAGGCCGGCCAGGGCCGAGCGTTGGAGGGCAGGGAGAGGCCGGAGGCCGGGCTGGACGCCAGCGAGTCGGTGCACAGGTCTGGGGTTTTGCCGTACAGAGGACTGCTACCACCACTCAGGCCGCCAGCGCTGCCCAGGCTCCCTGTGCCCGAGGAGGGGGAGTCCAGGCTGGCCTGCCTGGCCAGTGTCCCGTGGGGGCTACCCAGTATTGACGGGCACTTGCCAGAGTCGGGCGTGCCCGGAGAGCTGGCCTTGCTGCTGGCTTTGGTGCCAAACAATCTGGGGGTAGAGAGGTGGGTGCAGTAATTTAGAAATGCTCAAGGGCTTTACTTTGCGAATTCACTGGCGTCACCTCATTGTGTTTCCTGTGTGTCACTGAACTGGTCATAGAGATCTTTTGAACATAGAAAAGCCTCTAAAAACATCCACATCATCCAATGCAATGCCCGCTCTTTAGAAAGACAAAATACTGAGCACAAGACATTCATTCCTCACAGCGAGCTTCCCCTTATTGTAGGTTTGAAATTCAAGTGATTTGCATCCACACATCTGTTCTCACAGCTTTGCCAGTCTCACTCCTGTGATTTTAAACAACCTAATTTCTTTGACCACTCAACCTTGTCTGCCTCCCACATATGTTGAGACAGCTTGACTTGTTCTGCTCGTTTCTGCTCCAGTCTATTGCGAAACTAAAAAAATATAGGCGACACTTTACTGAGGTAGGTACAGAAGACATGCAGATGAAACTAGCTGGCTTGACAAATGGGATGGGACGTAGATTTGGATGCGACTGCTGAATGAGAGCTTTGAATCAGGAACTGACTGGCGAGAAACTTCCTGTCACCTGTCGGCTCTGATCAAGACCGCCGAAATGGATTAATTTGATCTGATTCTCAATCAGAAGCCATCAAAGCTTTATCTTCCAAGCAAAGAAATCTTTTATCTGCAGTGGCTCAGCACCTACACCGGGGAGCAATATGTGAAATGTCACCCTTCAACTGTGCAGTCAGGCTCACTCACTAACACATAATAAAGTTTTATATACATCTGGTGCATCCAAATAAATTAGCTGGGATGATAGAGATTGTTAAGAAGACATTTTACCATTATGTCTGCAGCAAATGTTCCTACCGACTTTAAAAGCGGGGCAGCCTGTATGTGGAAACATTACTGAGCATCACAGACATCTGTTTCAAAGGAAAATTCACACTCCAGGTGTCTTAAAGGGCATGTGATGTTTTCTTTAAAAAAGAGCTAAGTTTGCTACCTTGTGCTTATTTTCCTGTCAAAGCTAACAATCACTTAACTAAAAAGAATGTCGTGAAATGACTGATTCACAGAGAAGCACACGAAACGAGGAACAAAGACACAGCAGGAGCAGAAAAGGCCTGTGTTGTGTATCTGACCTGCGGAAGGTGGGAGAAGCGATGTCTGGGTATTTGGAGCCTGGCTGCCTGAGGCCCGATTGGCTCGCTGAGCTGGAGGTGGGGCTGGACTTGGGAGAGGTGGACATTCCCGCTGATGTGTCTTGCTCTGACACAGCCACCTTTTCTTTGTCCGTCTGGTTGACGGTGATGGGACTGGAGCGGTCGGAGCCTACTTTCCCGTCCCTGCGCTTGGCACCTCCTTGTGTTGCCGCCCCACCTGCTGACTTGCCGCTGAC